GTTCTAACACATGAAAGTGAAATCTCCTTCTGAAGAAGTAAACTAGGATCTCATACGTCCGGGGTTTATTTAATCTGTGTCCAACATTTCAACTTCGTTTTTTCGTTTTTTTTTAATTTCTCGTTCGATATTTAATGTCTACTTCTGGTTATGGTTATAATACGTAGATTTTTTAAAATTAAAGGCATATTGTCTTGCAGGCATGCCTATTTGCATTGGAGAAAACCTGAACGGTATAAGAACATTTTAATTGCAGAGAAATATGTTTAAGTCACATTACTGTAAAAATCGTTATGCTATGTTTCATAATGAAACAATGGTATTTTAATTGTCAATTAAACCTACCGAAAATACATGCCACATAGAATATAACCCCAAGAATAACCCGTTTTTCTGAGAATTTATAAAATGTAACTTATATACCGTTCTGGTTTTCTCACACTCCATTTACATACACCATCATTCTAAATATTTACACTGGTCAACACACAAGTGTGCCAAGACAAAAAACTCTTGTCAATTTAATTCTTTCTCATATGCTTCACACGCACAGCTCGAAATGAGAATGAAAAAAGGTCTGGCTCCCTTGCGACGTCCACAAGATAAGCGGCGAAAAAAGACCGCAGGCAGTGCGAGTTGGAAATCATAACCCACCCGAGAAACTGCTGTTTACGGAGCTGGGGGAGGCAAAACGGACTCGAAGTGCTCTAGAAGCAGAGTTGGACACTCTTGAGTCCCGGGGGACATATTTGGGGTCAAGCCCAACTCGTCACCGCCACGTCGGCAGCCACGTGCACATGTAGATACGTGCGCGTCGACGACATCGCTCCTCGTTTGTTTTTTGTTTTTTGTTTTTTTTCTGCCCGCAGTCATCGGCGAACGCCTCGCTGTTGGTGGACTGCTTTGGGGACATGAAATAAGGCGGTGAGCCGTTGCTTCTTCATTATTTACCAATGATTACACAAATGTAAGTAATGGGTTTTACTCTGAGAGATTTTTTTAAAGGAAATCCGAACAGTAGAATTAAAAAAATATATATATATCCTCCTCTTTGTCATTTATTGTCTCTCTGGTGATGCAATTAATATATAGACATAAGGAGTTTGAAGCTTACTCAAGATTTTAATGAACAATACGATTGACGAAATATCACTTCTACATATGGACTTCTTGACGAGGATAAATAAGTTGAGCTTAATTTATTGAAATAATTTTCGGTAGTAATGTAATAAAGTATAATTTATTATTCGCGATACAAAAGTACAAGCTCAAAGACGAGCATTAAAATTATGATAAAACTTCAGAAGTTCTTGAATATTGCTTTGATGTAATTAGATTTAATTCGCAGTAAAGTGGTGTGGTATTAACGATTCTAACAACCAGAAGCTACTTAGTTTCTATGTGAAAAGTGAGATACTATCCGGGATTAAGATTTTACTGCCTCGGTGTCAACAATATCGAAAGCTGCTGTCTCACTCGTAGAAAACATGTGTTGCTGCGTGGTTTTTATTTCGCGACATGACCTTTTCTGAAATTATACTTCAATTGGACAGTTAGACCGTAGTTTCATCACGTTTCAATAGACGCAGCTTATTTGGTCCGCATCACAGCTATTGCAAGGCGATGGTGTATAACTCCGTCAAGCTGCAACTCCTTGTTCGAAATTCAAAATTAACTAGCTATAATTTGTTTACTAATTAGTACTATTTTCTACCACATTAAAAAATCTTTACTCAACTATAAAAAAACCCCCAAATGAACAAAAAAAAAACACAAATCCAAAAGTGTGTTGCGAGCTTGACGTTAAGTTACACCCCCGCTTCTCATAAATTCAAATCAACTAACTAACATTATCTACTAATTTGCTACTAACTTTCAAACTTACAATTAAAATTTTGGTACTCAACTTAAACAATACAGGAAACATAACATCTGAAAAGTGGGGGGCTAGCTTGACGTTAAGTTAGCACCCTCACTTTGTATGTGTTTTTGTTTTTTTTTATAGGTTGAGTAAAAATTTAATAATTGTGGTTAGAAAATTAGTACAAATTATAGGTTAGTTCATTTTTGAATTTCCGAACAAGTTGATGTTGCAGCTTGACGTGGGTGTGTAATAAGCGTGATCCGGACTGTTTATACCCAAGTTGGCGGATTCAACACACGAACCGAAGCCGTTGGATTTTTATAGCCAAACACAGTCCTTCGTCGCTCTTCATTCGCGAGGGAGTAACGCCAGCGGTCCCATGTTAGTAGATTAAATCTACAATAAAATATCCTCAAGGCTAAAATGAACCTCTGAGAAAAATTCATATCGCCTTTTTTCGTCGCCCCGAAAAATTACTCCTTTCTCTGTTAGATGAAGGAGGTAGCAATTTTGCGAGGGTCAGACGGAAGATTCGCGCTGATGGCGCGAGATCTCGCCATGTAAAATAGGCATTAATGCAATTCAATTCCAATTCCGTGCTGCTGAATAAATGAAAACATGTAATTGCAAAATGTCGTGTTGCACTCCCGTCGTTACTCAGGGAAAAAACAGGAAGAATTCGTATCATCTGTCTTTTACTTGTAACTAGGATGTAGTAACTTCTGCCGTAAGTTTGAAGCGTTGTCACAAATAATCAACGAAGGTATTGGCATATCCCTCCCATTGAAATGTTTTGGTGGTCTGAGAAGTAATTACATTTTATTTTGTATAATAAAAAGATTAAATATAAATCCGATAATTTTCTTCCATTTAATACCCATTGATTTGGAGGGAAAAGTAAAGAATAAGTATGTTTTCGTTTCTTTTTTTATAAGAGAGTTCTAAATCGTGGATGTATACTTCATTGGAGTATTTACGTGTGGTAGTCAATTATGTCAAACACGTTACACATAGTTTTGAAAATAAATCCACAAAATATGGAGGCATAGCATCACATTAAAAACATTTCGGTGAGCATAGGGAAAGTAATTAATATGCAGATACGTAATAAAAATATTTAAAAAACAAAAAAAAAATGATCATTATCTTACTATTTCAAAAACATGTTTGTGATAAAAATTAAAGGTGAGATGTCATCATCCTTCTTTTATCAAAGGGTTTAATGTTGAATAATTTCTCATTTTGATCGGACTCATTACGGGTTAAATTTCTATATCATTGCCATATTTATGAAACTTCACTATACCAAAAACATGAAGGAAACAAAATTTTGTAAAAACGAAACGTGAGGTCTCACAATAAAACTAGAAACTGGAAGATGGCAAAAAAAAATGACCCAATAACTTATACATTTCTATCATCTATATGTCGTGAATAAACATTCATTTAAAAGTCTAGAGTACCCAATGACATATATATACAGAACCCGAGCCAGGGTAATTCCAAAAAAAAAAAAAAAAAAAAAAAAGAACAAAAAAAAAAAAAATATACGGGATGTTGTCGTATCCAGGCAAGACGTATATACGCGCGCAGTAAATCATGGGCTTTCACGTGAAACACGTCTTCTCGACAAACTGACGCCGCTCCGCGCTCGGGGCATGACCTCGCGCGCTCCATAACGACGATTGTCTCTTGTCCGGCTCGCCGGCCACTTCCCGCACGGCGCGGAAGCAGCGGCCGCACAATGGGTGAACACTCTCGCTCCACTGTCCGTCACCCCCCGACGCACTCGCTGCGACCCCTCGCAACCACTCGCCAATTCTGTCACGCGCGCCGGCGACCGCCTCCCACCCGACGCCCTTCGCAGGCTGCAAAGGAAGGGGAGGGGAAGGCACAGCGATTAGCTGTTTAAGGCGCCCTCCGAAATCGGGCTGTTGTTATCGGCTCTCTGTTTGTGTGGTATAATTACTCATTGTCCTTCTCTCTCTTCTATCTCTTCTCTCTTCTCTTCTGCTCTCTCTCTTACTCTTCATCTCTACTCTCCTTTTCTCCTCTATCTCTTTCTCCTCTATCTCTTATCTCTTTCCTCTCTCTATCTCTATCTCTTTCTTCCTTGCTATCTCTATCTCTTTCTATCTCTATCTCTTCTCTCTCTATCCTCTATCTCTTTCTCTCTCGTATCTCTATTATATTCTCTCTCTATCTCTTTCTTCTCCTATCTATCATCTTTCTTGTCTCTTCTTTTCTCTCTCTCTGTCTTTAACTGTCTAATCAGTCTGTAGTCTTTCTATCCTCTCTCTCAACTGTTCCGTCTCTCACTGTCCGTCTTCTCTCCTGTCCGTCTCTCTCACTGTTCCGTCTCCCTTCCATGTCCGTCTCCCTCACTGTCCGTCTCCCTCACTGTCCGTCTCCCTCACTGTCCGTCTCTCTCACGGTCCGTCTCCTCACGGGTCCGTTTCTCTCACGGTCTCCGTCTCTCTCACGGGGTCCGTCTCTCTCACGGCCCGGTCTCTCTTCAGCCCGTCTCTCATCACGGCCGCTCCTTCACGGCCCGTCTTTTCAACCGTTCCGTCTCTCACCCGTCTCGTCTCTCTTTTCTTTATTCAGTCTTTCTGTTAATAATCACATACTCGTGATCTCTCCCAACTTCCACTCACCAGCTCACGTTCCTTCTTAATATGCATTCGCTCCCGTTCCTTACTGACCCCCTGGTGAAGATGAAGAGAATGGAACCAGGCGATGGAGAAGACGCACTGAAAAAATATTAAAGGCAGAGAGAGAGGAAAAACAAGAGAAAGGAAATAAATCAGAGGTGAGTGAGAGATGAAAGAAATGAAAGATGTAGTGAGAGATATTGTTGATTATTGAATTCGGGGCGTCATTAGGTAAGGTCAAGTAGTCCCGTAAAGTTAGTGTCATACTTTCCCTCGAGCTGGCGGTAATTTCCCTCCCCGATGCTGATATACAGCGCTGACCATCTAGTCTCTCTGTGCACTAACAGAGTGTTTTCCAATCTGCTATCTGTTTCAGCGAGTCACCGCCCCAGCTCTTGCGCAGTTGTAAGCTCCCGACCTGTCTCCAGGCATGGAGGTAGTGTATGAATGTCCATTTAAGTATGTGGTAAGTAAGGGCGAGGATGGACACGAAAGAGGTATGGAAGATCGCGCGGCGTGTCGGTGGCCAGCGTTGTAGCGTACTGCTCCGGCATTCGCTGGGTTGGTCTTAACATCACAGCCGGAAGAGCTGCAAGCTCCCACCGGTTCTCCGCCATGTGGAGTTGGTGTGCATGCTAGTGAAGGGGTGAGTGGTAGAAAGGAAGAGGAAGGAAAGAATTCGCGCGCAGGTCGTGGTCCGTTTTGTTAAGGGTATTGCTCCGGCAATTCGCCTGGGTGTGGTCTTAACATTCACAGCGGAAGTGCTCTAAGCTCCCACCGTCTCACGCCCATGTGTGGAGTGTGGTGCAGCTAGTGTAAGGGGGGAGGGAGACAAGGAGAGGAGGGAAAGATCCGCGCGGTGCGTGGCCAGTTTGTTAGTACTCCCCGGCATTCGCCTGGTGTTGGTCTTAACTACAGCGGGAAGTGCTCTAAGCTCCCACCGGTCTCACGCCATGTGTGGAAGTGCTGGGCATATAGTGTAAGGAGGGATGGGACATAGGAAGAGGAGGGGGATAAGTATCGGCCGCGGTGCGGTGCGCCCGTTTGTTAGGGTACTTATCACGGCTTCGCCTGGTGTTGTCTTAACCATCGCAGCGAATGCTCTAAGCTCCCCAAGGTCTCCGCCATGTGTGGGGTGTGGTGCATGCTAGTGTAAGGTTTGAGTAACGACAAGGAAGAGGAAGAAAGATGCGCGCGCGGGTCCGTGGCCGTTTGTTAGTACGC